AAGAAAGAAAAAAAGAAAGAAAGAAAGAAAGAAAGAAAAAAAGAAAGAAAGAAAGAAAGAAAGAAAGAAAGAAAGAAAGAAAGAAAGAAAAAAAGAAAGAAAGAAAGAAAGAAAGAAAGAAAGAAAGAAAGAAAGAAAGAAAGAAAGAAAAAAAGTTAATCATTACGTTCATCATAGAAAAATGGTGCATCTGTTATATGCCTAGAAGAAACCAAGGTTTCATTTTATTTATGGTACTGCCTGAGACATGATGTTCTTTTGGACTATTCCCCACTTTAATTTCATGAGGAATTTCTGTTTTCTTCCTTGTGAAAAAACTCTGCTTTTTGGTTGTCCAAAGTCCAAATCATCAGGAGCAAGTGGACATCAATAACAAAATGTATGAAGGAATTGTGGACCTCTTCAACTGATGCCTTGACCTTTATTACAGCAAATGCAGTTTTGGGAATGCCCTACACTGTGAGGAACCTGGTCTAAATTCATCATGGAATTTCAAAGGACAGGGAAAAGGACATCTTATAATTGCTAGTCTCTCTCCCCTAAGGTGAACATCACCCTCAAACATAAAGAAATCTCTAAGAATTTGATGGTTGAGAAAAAGTCTGCTCTTTGGTTGTTGAAAGATTGAATAAACAGGAGCAAGAGGACATCAAAAGCTAAATAGAAAAATAAGAAATGGTCTTAAAGAACAAAGAGGGACCCCAAGAAAGATGACAATGGGTACTCTGACAATAAAGTCAGGAGTTATGCAGTATGGCAGGCTGGAAGAGCTGGGGCAGGGAAGAAACGGTAAGGGGAAATGACTTTACTGCTTTCTTCCCCCATATCCCACCTCCCAGTAGCCTCCTGGAAATGCAACGCAAGGGAGCCCATACAAATTGGAGCAGCTCATCTGGACTTCATTCCCATGGCCCAGACTCAGATTTCTCTGGGAACATGGGAGGAGGGAGTAAGGCTGATGGAGGTGCTGTAAAGAGCAGAAGGAACAACCTTGAAAGGCAAGAGGAAGAGCCGCTCCCAAGACAATGGTCAGATAAAAGAAACCTGAGTCTGGGGAAGAACAGTAACATGAGAAAACCTCTCAGACAAGACTGTCCCTAGTTCTCAGGAAGATAAAAGAAGGTAGGTGTCGGGGAAGCACAGTCAAACTTGCAAGATTCTGTTACTATACTATAAAACCTGTATTAGCCTGTATGACTTTTGTTTCCTAGTCTGGTCTACCATGAACAGCTAAGAGAACTGGGCAAGGGGTGGATCAGGAGAACTTCACGGTCCATTCCAACATGATGTTCCTATCATAAGTAAGTAAGATTTAAGTAAGAAAGATGTAAGAAAGACTCAGAATAAAGTTGGTCAGCAGACTCAGTTCCACCCACCTCATGTGCTGCATTCACTGCTACTGGGAAGGGCAATACCCCTCAGTGTTTGCCACCATTCGGCCACCATACCACCAAAAGAGGCAAAACTGAGTTTGAACCCAGGCATGCCTTACCTTTTCTAAGCCAGACAGAGACTACCCGGAAGCCAACTTATATTGCTTGCCTCTCATCAACTACATGCACTGTATTGAGAGATATTCAGGACGCAAAGAGGAGTAATTGGTCAATGAGCAATTGGCTTAATTCACAACTGTTTTGAGTTCCAATTGTCCAATTGTTAATATTATTATTTTAAAAATAAAAGTAGGGATGTTATCTTCTTGGTCTCTAAAACATTAAGCTCTTTTTTCTCCTTTTCTAGTCGGTTATGTCTATTCACTGGCCCTGTTCCGCTATATTTTACCCAGGAATTCTCAATATGAGAATCTAATACATTTGATCCTGCTCATTTGCCTAATATGTTCACCTATTATTATTACCTTCATGCTGTCCTTCCTTGTTGTTAGTAATTTTTTTCATTTTTGATCTATTAAACAATCTAGAATTAAAATCAGAAGCATGTTCTGGAATAACATATTGAGGCAATTTCTGCTCGCTTCAAATTGACTCATTAATTCTTTTCAGTCCATCCATATGCCTTTAATTATCTTTTTGCAAATTCCCTTTATTAGACTCCTTTTTTCTCTCAAATCTTGCCACTTTGCAGAAATTCAGCCAGTTATAAATGGCAGCAACTAGCCCCAGCAGTGGGAATCTAATTAAGAAGGAAACAGATGAAATTTTTGAGAATGAAATTGAAATGGAGGAATTCCTGAAGAAGTATTTTAGAGATTGGTAAAACAATCAGAATTATTTCAAAGAGAGAAATTGCAAATAACAGTAGGGTATAGGATTATCTTGGGTTGAAGCACTCAGGGAGAAAAAATGCCACTTGTTCTCAGCACTATACGGAGTTTACAACCAATTTACCGAGAACCAAAAAAAGGCCCTTTGAATAAACACCCAGTAGGACAAAGGCTACTGGTTATTAGGCAGCCTAGGAAACTGGGTGGTTGTAAGGGACAGATGTCAGAGAGGTACAGCGCAGTAACTTACTCGCCTAAAGCTGTTCAGGTTATCTGCTCTTCACTCAGATCAGAGAATAAAAGCTCAGTTGAGAAAGGACCCTGTGAAGCATCTACCAATGTCTCTGTTTATTTACTTCATCTCCGTTTATTTACTTCGGTGTTAGGATCAAAACAAAACAAAACTAGAATTTCCTTCTTCTAGCTAGAAGCTGCTTTCTCACTGCTTGGATAACACACACTTTCCACAATTAATTCAACCCAAAGCAAAGCAGGTCCTTACCCAGAGTGGCCACATGCCTGGAATTCTCCAGCGTGACTTCCCCGCGTAAGGCTCTCTGGCTGGGATCCAGCAGCGCCCACTCCTCCTCCGTACAATGCACAGCCACCTCCTCCAAGGACACTAAGCCCTGAAAGTCAAAGGAAACGTTCCTCATCAGAAGTCCCAGGAAGTTCTCTCCCAGATTTCCAACTTTCTAAAAATGAGTTTTGCAAGAGAGAAAATGCTCCTTTTTGAAATAATGTATTACCGGGTTTTATAGTTGCCTCTCCTAATATATTAATAAAATTAATAATAAAAGTGAGTAAATAAAAGAGGGGATTCCTCTTCTTGTCCATGCATGAGACAGCAAGGGCTTTATTTTAAATAAAGTACTATAACCTACTGCAGGCACAAAAAACTTAAATACTCAACTGTTTCCATGAATGAATTTGAGTTCTCAACATAACACTTCGATAAGCTGCTGTTATACAACCACCTTGAAAAGAGATCCAACCTGTTGAGTCCTGACCTCCTTAACCAGATCTGCATTGAATCTCATGAAAAAACCAGACCCCCCCCCCGGCCCCCCATGTTTCCCTGCTCTGATGAAGCTTCCCTACCTGAGCTGTTGCTGATTCACCAGAAAGAGGAGCTGGATCCTCCTCAGAGATCCTTCCCAACAGATGCCCCATAGAGAGACCGGAGAGAGCTTCTCCGCCTTCAGGAGATACCGAGACCATTTCCACTTTCCTCAAGGGCTCCTGCATCTGAAATAACAGCCAGGATCAAAGAAGAAGAAAAGCGAAACCAACTGAACATGAGGGGGAGGAGGAGACTCTTCTCTGCCTCCAAAGCTCGAAGCGGAGATCCACGTACACTTGG